GCTCTCGTCCCATGGTAACTAATGTTCTAACAAAATACATAACAGTGGTGCCATAGGCTACACAAGTGTATCCACAACACCATAAACCCATTTTAAAGTTTTTCATTAACTTATTAGTCACTTCACCACCAGTTGAAAAGGCTGTATCCCCGCCCTCATCAAGTGAACACTAACTCCACCCCTTCAGGATAGGTAAATATATTAGGATTCCTTACGTTTTAAATCCCTATAGAATTATATAAGTATCATTCTTTATGAAAATCCATAAGAACTAATATCTATGCTTGAGATTTTCTTTTAGTAATCATAAGACGGCTGCTGCTGAACATCGGCTGACAGTTAACTCTGCTTGCTGGAACTGTTTCCTGAAACTGCACTGCTTGAAGTTACCAGGAACCTGCTTTCATCAATCAAACAATTGCTGAACTGTATCGATGATTAGTAGACTTGCCCTTAATTAAACCCTGAATGGTTTCTATTGTTAAAACATTATGAATTGACCATTAGTACACGTAGCCCCTCTCCCATTTACTTGCATGTATCCATTTTCAATAAAAAGGCACGGCGATTCCTAGCAGTTGTCACTCCTCAGAGAGCGATCTTAGAAGGGTGTCCAGCTGAGGACGTGCATGAAAAAGCACGAGGCCTTTGTCTTTCTTTCCTTCCAGCGTCGCCTCCATCGAGCAAACCCACCCCCGCCGAGGCTGGTCCCCGGCACTGTCCAACATGTAGGTACCGGCTGCATGTCTGCTGTGGCTTTCTCTCCCACCTGGGCTGGGTGCGCTTCCTGTGGATGCCTACGGGCAGCGCCGCCTCCCTCCTCACCTCCTCTCACCCTCTGCGCTCGCTCACCCTCAGTGGCCGGATTGTCCCCACGGTCTGGCACAGGTGCCCCCTTACGGAGATACCGTAATCTATTTAAGCAAATGCTGATGACATTCGTGTCCGACTTCTGCCATGATAAACGACACTACAGTGAACACACTTGCCTATAGTTACTTCTGTATAATTCAATCCTAGAAGCAGAATCTCTGGGTCAGAAGATATGCATATCCCAATGCCGGTATTCCTGGTTGACTCTCCAGTGAGTTTTTAGGGAGGAGTCTGACCCGTGTGGAGCAGGACATGGCCACCAGTCAGCCAGACCCACTACCAGCTCGCTGTGTGACCCTGGGTAAGTCCCTCTCCCTCTCTGGTCCTCTGGTCCCCCACTGATTGAGCACCTAGGGCTGCTCTCACTCGCTGTCCTGTGGTTCTGCCATGCCCAGTGGCTCAGAAGACTCAGGGGCAGAGACTCACCCGCAAGTGGGTGCCAGAGACGGGGCCAGGGGTGACCGGCTTCCACTGCTCAGAGCCTTCCTCCTGGACACTGATGCAGTAGCCTGTGATTGGCCCGGCGCCCGTGTACAGTGGAGGCTCCCACTGCAGCATCAGGTCAGTGGCCCGCACCTCGGATGCCCGCACATCGTAGGGGGGGCCTGCGGGAGAGGAGAGGGGCAGAAGTTGGGGAGCTGGGCGGCCGGGTGGCCGGGCAGTGAGTACAGGGGTCAGTTTGCAAGCTTGCCAGTCTGCTGGTCACAGCCAGCCTGAGAGTTTGTGATCTGGGTGGGTATAGCAGGGACCCAGTGGGCCTCGGCGTCATGACAAAGCTTGGCTCTGAGAGAGAGCTAATTGCAATGTGTGCTTGGCGTCACCTCCTCCCGGAAGCCTCCCTGGCCCTCCGCAGCCCCATCCCCGTGGCATTGCTCTTTCTGCAGTCGTCACCGGTTCAGTGTTTGGAATGGGAGCCAGAGGTGTGACCTCCACAGTCAGACGCTGGGTTTGTGTCCCTGCTCCACCCTCTCTAGCCAGGGAGCTCCGGTGATGAGCTTCTCTGCCCCTCTCTGTGCCCCTGTGGACGGGCATAATCGGAGCTCTCGTCAGACAGTGCTGCTGTGAGCGTCCGTGAGGTGGTGCCGGCAAGTGCTGGTCATTCGCAGTGCACAGCTGCTGCTGTCTAAAGGGCCCCAGCAGTTACCTGCATTCCGGTAAAGGTGCAGGACACACCCGAGCCAGTGACGGGCGGTTGAGCTTGCTCCTTCCGAGAGGACCCGCGAGGGGCCCACTTGTGAGAAGGCTTACGGGGCTAGGGGAGCAGTGCGCGGGGAGACGGGGAGACCACCGTCCCTGTTTGTCCAGGACTGAGGGGTTCCTGAGACACGGGACCTTCAGGGGTAAACGGGGAAAGTGCCGTTGCTGGGACCCCCAGTGTTGTGGAGGGGCGAGGTCCTGGGCTTCCTCCTAGGCCAGCATGACACAGAGGAGCTGGTCACCTAGCAAATCGGGACCGGCGGGCCACCCTAGCGATGCGCACTGAGATTTGAGATGGGTCCTTGGCCGAAGTCAGAGCTCAGATGGTCTGTGGTGCTGGGAGCGGCTTGTGCTCGGGCCACAGGACCAGCTGGGGGCCCAGCTCAGGCGTGCTCTAAGGCAGGGGCTGCAGGGGTCAGTGGGGAAGGTCAGGGATCTGGGTGCGGGACCAGCAGAGCCAGCTGGATTGCAGAGCTCGGGTGTCCATCTCTGGTGAGGTCTGGGGAGGGGAGGGAGGTAGGCGCCGCGCTCCAGGTCTCTAGGCCCCTCACCTGGCTGGGGCATCGTCCACTCTTTGCACTCAAACAGGCCGCTGGGCACCGACAGCTCACCAACACCTGCCCAGTTGACCGCACGGGCACGGAACTCGTAGAAGTGGCCTTCGTGAAGGTTACTGACCTTGAGGAGCAGAGACGTGGTCTGTGAAGGCCGAGGGAGGGCAGGCGTGGGGTAGGGATGGTCCGCGGCACTTTAGCAGGAAGTTCTGAGGGGTCTGCACTTGAAAGCCAGCTGGAGGACTGCAGCGGGGCACTCGAGGCCCTCCCAGCCCAGAGCCGTGATCAATCCCTCCAGTCCCCCCTGCAAGCGTCATGGCAAGGCTGGGGACCCCTTCCCAGCTACCTTGCAGACCCGGGCTGGGATGGGCTGCTGGTTGACCGCGTGCCAGTCCAGCTCCTCCGCATCGTGCTGGTCCAGGAAGTAGCCCAGGATCTGGCCACCTCCACGACGCTTGGGCGGTTTCCACCCGATGACCATTTCATTCTTCCCACAGCTCAGGAGGGCAAAGTCGTAGGGGGCCGATGGGGTGGCTGTGGAGAGGCGGGAGGTGAGGGCAGCTGCCCCAGGGGCTGCCGGGCTGGGCGGCAGGGCCCAAGGGAGCTAAAGAGCCACCCCTAGTGGCGCCCCCTCTGCTCCAAGGGGTACTCCCTGCCAGCAGCATCTGCCCCCGGAGGGCACCTGAGCCCCAGGTGTCTGGGCCTGGGGGTGTCCCCACCTCCCTGAGCTAATTAGGCCTTGTCCCATGGCCTTAGTCATTGCTACCTTCTCCCCAGAGGGAAGGGAGGTCAGCTCCGCTCAGAGAGCTCATGCCCCACTGGCCACTGGGCCTGGCCTGCAAGGTGTGACCTCAAAGCCCGGCTCCTGCCCACCACACTGGGCCTGCCCTTGGGCTCACCCAGAGCCTGCTTGACCCTGATGGGTCCGGTCGTGGTGGAGCTGTCGCCGACCCCGGCCTCGCTGACCGACCTGATGCAGAACTCGTACTCCTTCCCTGTCCTCAGCCCGGGAACCGTGAACCTGGAGAGACACGCGCGGCCTTCAGGGATGTCTCGGCAGCTCGCAGACGCCGCTGAGCTTTCTAGAGCAACCCGGTGGGGTAAGCGGCCACTGGTGCGGTAGGCCTGAAGGGTTCTGGGCCCGTTCGTATCCACATTACCCTGACCTCAGGGTGAGGCCTGAGATGGCACCCAGGAGGCTGTCGGCCCCTCTGGAGCGTCACGAAGCGCGGACGCCCTGGGAAAGACCCTGCCACAGGCGAAGGCAGCCCCCGCGCCCCGGCCACGGCACATCTCAGGACCTGGGCCTTGTCCTGGAAGAGCCAGTGGCTGCAGTTTTGGTACCAATGCTGTGATTCAAAAACAGAGTCCTCTAAAGACCCTAAAGAGTGTCACCTAGAGACACAGGGACACTGGCTTAGAGAAGCCCTTTGCACCCTGTCCTTTCTTTTTGTTTGTTTGTTTTTAACTTGGGCCTAGGATGTGTTTGCTTGCCAGAGCGCGAGAGCGAGCCAGAGAGAGGTAAAGTGAGAAAGCACGCCTCCCCTCGTGCCCCAGGAGGGGATGGCCTTGCCACGATCCCTTCTCCATTCTCCTCTCGGGATTTTGCACGCACACACACACACACACACACACACAGACGGGCCTGGCGTTTCTCAAGCTGCCAGGTCTGGGACTTGAACTGCACAGTCAACCGTGTGGGATCTAGCTGCCCTAACCAACATGCCACCGGCTGGCCTTCCTGTCCCTTGATAAAACCCAAAAGGATTGCTTTGCCCCGTTCCCTTGCAATCACTGTCCTGTGGCAAATCGTGCTTGCAGGGAGGCCCTCTCAGCCAGGGGTCCCGGGGTCCCGGGGAGTTAAATCCCACCTGGTGTTGATCACAGAGGTCGCGCTCCCTCTCAGGGACCCACGTGCACAGGGAGAGGCTCGGGGGCAGCGCCTGGCCAGGGCCACGCCCCAGGCCAGACCCACCAGCGGCCAATGGCCTTAACAGCTGTGCTTGTCCAGCACCAGCTTCCCACGGACTAGCCAGGTGTCGCCGCGGTGCCCTCTCAGACGCCACCACTTCTCCCTCTTTTGCCATCTTACGTCCTGGCATGGTGGAGGGGCCCTTGCGGGTCACACTGCCCTGTTCCCTCATGTTCTAGATAGAGAAGGACTCCCCCAGAAGGAGCACTCGGCCAGGTAGGGACCCAGCTCCCGCCCACCCACCATCCGCCCCTCCCTCCATTCACGTTCTGGGCCTCTCCTGTGAGCCAGGCTCCCTGGGGTCAGCAGTGACCTGGGTCTGCCCAGCCCACCTGAGCTCCGGCTTCACCCGGGCAGCAGAGCTGAGCCTTTCGGGCAGTGACACATGGAATGATGACGTGGCCAGTGTGACAGGTTTTCTGGACATCCAGAGGAGCATGCCACTAGTGTGTGCACAGCAGTCCTCCCTGGCCTGGCCCTCCTGCTCAGGGAAGCAGTCTCATTCTAGGGGTCACCTTGACTTTGGGCTAATTTGTCGGAAGCCTGATTATTCTAGAACTTGTGAACTTTATCTGTCATCGGCAACGAATTACCAGTGACCCCTCAGCTGGGGGTTAGCACAGGGCCTGTCCCTTTCTGGGTAAGATGGCCTTGGGGCTCCTGGCTCAGGAAGAGGGGAACCCAGGTGCAATGCTCAGGGCCTGGCCAGTCCTCCAGGGTACCATCTCCCCCGCTCCCCTGCCACCGCACAGAACTCTAGTATTGAGAAAAGTCAGGGGACTAGCAGTTAGCGTAATGGCTATGTCGCTGGAATCCCATGTAGTCAACCGTGGTTCAAGTCCCGGACTCGGTGGCTTAAACTCACACCAGGCACGTGTGCGTGCGTGGCCCAAATCCCTAAAGGAGAATGGAGGAGAAGGGATTGCAGCGTGGCCATCCCTCCTGGGGGGTGATTTCTTACTTTCTGTCTCTCTGTCTCTGTCTGTCTGGCGAGTGCACGTGCCCTATAGCAAAAACCTCTTCAAAAAAAGAAATAAAGAAAGAAAAGTCAGGAGCCCAGAAACCCCAGGACTCATGGTTTCAGCAAGGACCAGGGTCTTCGAGGGCTCAGTGAGGAGGAAGCCTCAGAGTGGAGTAGAATTTGGAAAACCTAGAGCAGGGGTCCCTAAACCCTGGGCCACACAGGTGAGTGGTGGGCGAGTGAGTGAGGCTTCACCTGTATTTACAGCCACTCCCCAATGCTGGCATCACCACTGCCTGAGCTCCGCCTCCTGTCAGATCAGATTCTCACGGGAGTGAGGACCCTACCGGGAACTGCTCAGCGAGGGATCTAGTGATGTGTTTGCTCCTCACGAGCACCTAATGCCTGATGACCTGCAGTGGAGCCGAGGCAGTGATGCTAGCTCTGGGGAGTGGCTGCAGATACCAATCAACATTAGCAGACAGGCTGGACCAGTGACCGTAATGCCTCAATTATTGTGGACTCACATCGAGACCCTCTCAGAAAGTTGCCTCTGGTGGCAGGCTTTGTAGTGGCAAGTGAGTGGATGTTCTTCGATTGTACAGCTGCCTCTGGTGGTAGGCTTTAAATCAGAATTAGCACCCCCTACCCTTGGTCCACAGAAAAAAACATCTTCCATGAAACTGATCCCTGTTGCTGAAAAGGTTGGGGACTCCTGGCCTAGGGGATGAAGCAGCCCACCCTCCAGTTTACAGGAAGGGGCCCAGGCTCAGAGAGGGTACATCTGCTGTGTAGGGTGCTAGGAGAGTGGGGGTGGTGTGGAGCTCAAGCCTAGGCCTCCCTAGATGCAAAGCCTCCCCTCTGCCTCTGTCTCTAAGCTCCTGGAGGGATGAGACCTAGCCACAGGCACCTCTGTCCGGCCTGCAAACAGCACGTCCTCAGCACATGTTTATCAGAAAGGTGACCATCTGTGCTCACGTCCCGGTTCCTCCGCTCTCTGGCCAGGGCTGTTTTGGCCCGTGAGGTTAAGGTACTCAACACCTCTGCACCTCAGTTTCTTTGTAAAATGGTAATGGAGGCCCTGGTCCTGAGTCCCGCACTTCCAGGATGCAGTGGGGCTGGATGACCTGGTGCACGAGAGAGCTGAGAGCTGGCCGGGGTGGGTGCTGTGCCGCGGTGGCCTCCCACGGTTCCTGGCCTCCTCCGGGTATGCCCGCGTGCAGGGAGGACTGGGGCAGCCTTACCTGTCACCCTGGATGGGTTTGTTGTTCACTGTTTGCCACTCAGCTGCTCCCGCCTCCCGGGAGTAGATGTAATAGCCCAGGAGCTCCGGGCTTGTCACCGGCTCCCAGGTCAGGGAGACAGAGGTCTGCGTGTCTCGGAGAGCTTGGACTTGAGCTGGAGGGGGAAGAGTAGCTGCAAACCAGAAAGGGGGGCACAGTGAGGGTGCAGAGTTCCAGGGCCTGCCTGGCTGGGTGGGGAGGAGTACGGGGACAGGCAGGGCAGGGCCCCGCAGCAGCACAGGGCCAGGCGGGCCAGAAGTGGCCCAGACTCTGTCCTACCGTCCTCCCCTCTGAACTCTGAGCATCCAGCTAAAACGCAAATGCGTGAAAGCCCTTCCTCCTCAACCCCGCCCCACGTCAGCACGGCTGAGAGTTTCCACGTCAGCACGGCTGAGAGTTTCCCTGGGTCCTTGTCCTCCCGCTCGAGGAAACTTGATTTTCCTTCTCGAAACGTCTCTGCTGACGTCCGTGGCTCCCTGAGACTAAGCCCTGAGTTGGGGTTGCCACGGCGTGTTAAATGGCTGGGCGGGCGGGCACGCGGTGTTCCTGGTCTCCTCCCCGCCCCTCGGACTCCTCACAGCTCTTGGTGGCTTCCCATCTTCCTTGGCCCTCGAGGTGGGGCCCATCCAGCTTCTGTTCCTGGCCCACTCCACTTTCTCCTCTTCTCCCCGAGGGTCCTGCCTGCCCCGTGCCTCTCCCTCTCTGCAGGCTGCCCCCGGCCCTGCCCTCTCTGTTTCTGTCCGGACACCTCTCCTTGTGGTCCCGTGGAGCCCCAAAGTCAGCAGACGAAGGCCAGCCCCAGCCCAGTTCTCACGGGCACCTGCTCTGTGCTGGGCCTGGGCACGAACCGAGAAACCGTCACGAGTCCTGGGCTCAGGAAGGGCCTGCTGCGATGTCAGCCCCCTGAGACTGAAGACAGTGTGGCAGCAGTGGAGGGGCTGGGGGACCACGCAGGGGCCCCC